GACGTGTTGCCCGTAGATGAATTTCTGTATATAGACGTCACTCTTCCTCTAGCAAGGAAGGCAGGTTCTGCCCTTGGAGACAAAGCATGACTTCATCAGGGGTCTGCTACTTTCCTCTCCCGCACATGATGACTGTGGATATTTCATAAGAAAAACTGCAACGCTCTCTGTTTTAGGAACCTATTTAGCTTTCTGAAGAGTCTGGCAAGTCCTATGTATTTATGCAACGTATTAACACAAGCTAAGTTCTGACGCTACAGTATGTTGGAAAAGGGATTGTCTTTTGGAAAGCCCAGTAGCTTAAGGAGGGAGAAAGAAAACTCAAGAGATTTCGGGGATTTCATGGATTTTACCCCTGATATTGTGCTGTGTCTTGGTAATATTTTTAAAAAGCACTTTAAAATAAAATGCGATGGAAGATTCTTAAGTCAATTTTTATGCCAGTGCCTTTGAGGGCAACCACGCCGAAAGCAAACAATTGTTTTATCAGTTGAGTTGAGTGAAACTAACACACCACAGGCTTCCTCAGCTAAAATAAAGAGGAAAATCTCCTTGAACTTCCCATTTCTTCTCCCTTGTTAAATTAAAGTGTCTTTTGGTAATGTAGAAATCAGATTACCCAGAGTGGGGGTGGGTGTGTGAAGGAAAGAAGCAGCCGAAGACCCTGAATCTCCTATTCACATAAATCTCAGGCAGCAAATTTAAGGTCTGAACTCATGAGGCACACACTGCTGTTCTCACCTCCGAAAGGCCTGACATATTGTGGGTTTCCGTCGTGGGGAGAGAGCGAGTCCTGGCTTCCGAATGACCTGGCTTCCTCCGCTCGGAAGCTGCGGGATCCTGATAAGTAAGAAACTCGTGGAATCCCCATTCTCTCATCTGAAGAGCAGAGTTAAAAAAGATGCACCTTGTAATATTACTGCACCAGAATAAAAACATTTATTTTTAACATTTTGGGAAGATCAAGCTAAAATCAAACAAGAGACCTTATTTTTTTTTTTTCCTCCTTGAGATTTGATTGTTCTGGAAGTTTGTAGAGCGAAACTTTTCTGTACTCTGTAGATAAAGAATTTGTCACATCTAGTCTCAGACACGAGAGGCTACAGGCTCCTTGTACCTCTTGGGAATGTTTACTATGAAATATTTCGTTCAGAACATATATAACACACGTGTCCAAACCACCCTTCAGTGGCTGGCCAGAATGTGCATCTGTGAACTGTCAAAGATATTTTGGGGGTAACAGGTTGCTCTTCTGGAATTAGCAGAATTTATGGAGCTGCACCTGAAGCAGGGATCTGTTGGTTCTTTTCCCTAATAACAGTGATAATTGACCGTGACCCACATTTGAGCTAACTTTTACTGAGAGGTGACATTTACCCTGAGCCAGCACCAGCCTAACTGCTTTTGGCATGCTAACTCCTTTATGTGTGCCATCAGCTGTAGGAGGCAGATACTTCCATTTTCTGCCTATTGTATTGGTGAGAAGCTTGAGACACAAGGAATCTAAGTAACTTGCATGGGTTGAGGACTCAGAGAATTCCAGCATGCCTGTTGCCAGGACAAGGTCATTAAAGGTAGGAGGTATACCTGGAGTGACGGCCAGGGGTGGGATACTAAGACAGGAGAAATAAAATTCATGTATTTCATAGTTTGGTTCAATTTACTGAACAATTATCCCACAACTCCTCCACAGCATCCCCCAGTTGAAACTTAAGAAACACAAATATACATAAAAACCAGCCTCTTGCAAGGGAGACAGTAATAAAGAAATCGTGAGCATTTCATGAGGGGAAGCACCATGAGATCCGAGAGAGAGTGATTTCCTCTCTGATAGCGGAAAGCCATTGGAAAAAGTTATGAGAGGAGAAGAGGTTTGAGCGTTGGGTTGGTGGATGAGTAGCCCCTGGCAAGGGATGGAGGGACCTGTGTAAAAAGGGGATCCAGCTGCCAAGATGGATTTGAGAGAGATGCATGCTCAAGAGGCTCTCTTGGGGATGACTTTTTTGAGTCTGACACCAGAACCAAAGCTAAATAAATAAATAAATAAATAAATAAACAAACAAACAAATAAATACATAAATAGATAAGACTATCATAGGGGACGGGAGGGAAAAATGAAACAAGAGGAAATCAGAGAGGGAGACAAACCGTAAGAGACTCTTCATCTCAGGAGACACACTGAGGGTTGCTGGAGTGGTGGGGGGTGGGAGGGATGGGGTGGCTGGGTGATGGACATTGGGTAGGGTATGTGCTACGGTGAGCGCTGTGAATTGTGCAAGACTGATGAATCACAGACCTGTACCCCTGAAACAAATAATACATTATATGTTAATAAAAAAAAGAAAGAAAGAAAGAAAGAGAGAGAGGGAGGGAAAAGAAAGAAAAAAAAGAAAGGGGGAGGGAGGTAGGGAGGGAAAGGAAAACGAAGAGAAAGTTATATTTTGTATTATGTATCCCAATAAAAATAATTCTATACAGAAAAAAAAATAAGTGATACTATATCAAATTAAAAAGCTTCTACACATCAAAGGGAACAGCTCACAAAATGAAAAGGCAACTTACTGAAGGGGAGAAGATATTTGCAAATCGTCAATCTGAGAGGGGGCTAGTATCCAAAACAGTTATAGAAGTCATATAACTCAATAGCAAAAAACAATCTGATTAAAAAAATGGTCAGAAGACACGAACAGACATTTCTTCAAAGAATCCAAATGGCCAACAGACAGATGGAAAGATGTCAACGTCAGTGGTCATCAGGGAAATGCAAATCAAAGCAACCATGAGATATTACCTCACACCTGTCAGAACGTTATCATCATAAAGTCAAGACATAACAAGCTTTGGTGAGGATATGGAGGAGAGAACCCTCGTGCACTACTGATGGGAATATAAATTGGTGCAATCACTGTGGGAAACCCTGTGGAGGGTCCTCAAAATACAAAATTAAATTAAAGGCGCCTGGGCTCAGTTGGTTAAGCGACTGCCTTCGGCTCAGGTCATGATCCTGGAGTCCCAGGATCGAGTCCCGCATCGGGCTCCCTGCTCAGCGGGGAGTCTGCTTCTCCCTCTGACCCTCCCTCCTCTCATGTGCTCTCTCTCTCTCATTCTCTCTCTCAAATAAATAAATAAAATCTTTTAAATAAATAAAACTAAATTAATAAACAAGTAGAATTACCATACGATCCAGCAATCTTACATCTGGGTGTTTATCCAAAGGAAATGAAAACATTATGCACCATCATGTTCATTGTAGCATTATTTACAATAGCCAAATTACAGAAACAACTTACATGTCCATCAGTGGATTCATCGATGCTCTTTAAAAAAAAATCGTGGCATAAACATACAGTAGAACATTATTCAACCATGAAAAATGACACCTTGCCATTTGTGACAGCATGGATAGACTTTGAGGGATTTCTGCTAAGTGAAATAAGCCAGAGAGAGAAAGATAGATACTGCATGTTTTCACTTTTATGTAAAAATCTTAAAAACAAAACAAGACGGAACTCAGATACAGAGAACATGTCGGTGGCTGCTAGAGCCGGGGGAGGGGTGGTGGTGGGAAGAATAAAAGGAGGTAAGACTACAGGAGGAGTTACGGGATGGGTGAGATGCGTACACCATGGGGTCCCGTCTACACCATTTCAAGGGCCACGAAGTCCTAAAGAAACCCCCCAGTCCTGAACCCCAGGGAAGTTTCCAGAACTTGGACTACAGAGCCAGGCAGGATCAGGAAACACGAGGAAAGTACATGTGTCGGGACTGGATCAACCCCCACCCTCCTGGAGGTCTGTCCTAGGCAGGGACCTTCCCTCTGTTTAAGGAGCGAAAAAGAGAGAGAGGGAAGGGGGGAGAAAGAGAGAGAGAAAGAGAGAAAGGAGAATAAACAAATAAAAAGCCCTCAGTGTTCTGACAACTCTGGAACATAAGCCACAAGGGATAGATGCCATGAGCTGAGACCTGGAACCTGGATGGGTTTAGCAGGGCTCTTGGGATTTCTTCGGTGCGCAGACGGAAGACAATGGCAAATGTTCATTACATGATAAACATGTGACGCGCTGTTCATACGTAAGGAGCAAACCATGGAGAATCCACTGTCCCTGGACCTGCATCTTTCCTGAGAGATTGTGGACATCCCTTTGTGTACTCTGGAATGCCCAGAAGTATTCCATCTACATTGGTTGGTCTTGGTTCCTGCTTTAGCAAGAGCATGTTGGGTATTTCAGAGGCCCGCGGCTTTACCTGGGATGGAAAAGCCTTTGTGAATTAGGCTGTGCCACCGGGGTCTCTGGGGCGGCTTCTGGGTGTGTTAAGTGACCAAAGCCGAGCTCTTTGCTGGAACTGGCACATGCGGCGGGGGGGGGGGGGGTGGGGGGGACGACGGCAGCAATCTTACTTCTGGGTATTTAGCCAAAGGAAATGAAAACATTATGCACTATGGGGAGTGGTCTCCAGGTGTTCACACAAGTTCTGAGCAAGGGGAAAGTTTAGCAAAGCCTTCCTGGGAAAATTCAAATCTGTGTGGCAAACTTGAGATGGAGATTTCACAAAATGGCCCTAATCACTTCCTTGTGTAGCCAGTCTCCTGGGTTTCTCTATCCTGCATAGCTAACATTTGAAAAGTGGGAGTAAAAATCAGTGAAATCTACTTAGCGGAATTCAATGGACATAATTAAATTAGGCTTCTGTTCTTTAGAATTCAGCATAGGGTGGTATTGTAAAAAGAAAAATAAGGATTTTATAAGAAAAGAGGTTTTAAAACCCAAAGAACTACAAATCATTTCCGACCTATAGGATGATATTTCTAAAGCGCAAAATGACTCACTCTCCAAAATTATTAATAGTGCCAGGAAAGAACAAAACATTTGTAAGAAAGACCAGTTTTTTTTTTTTTTTGATTTTTCAAAAAAAAAAAAGCTATTTTGGGAAAATTGAAAATAAAAGAACTTAACCGTTCTAATGAAATAATAAAAAGTCCCGTCAGCTCTCCTGTCCGTGTTTTTGTTTTTATTTTAAAGGGGCGTGAAAGGGTAAAGCGAAAGAGAAATGCCTTTTCTCTCCTTGAAAATTGTGTATTCTCCAGGCAAGATGTCCCTGTTTTCTTCTTTCTTTGGCATCTTCACATCCCCAATAATTGTTTCCTCCCCTCTCTTGATATTTTGAGCGCTACTTTTCTTGTTTTCCTGCGCAGGTCTTGACTTTTGTATGCGTTCTCTCACTTGTTTTCCTAGGTGTTTCTATCCAGAGATCCTTTGATCTCACAGAGCCCCTTTCAGTTCTTGTGAATTCCTGGCAAAGTTGAAACACGGAGGAATTAGAAAGAACTTGCAATGTCAAGGGTCTTTCTGAAGACACAGTCTGTACAATTCTTGGAGATTAATGGCTTCAGATTAAAAAAGAAACTCTTATTGAAAAAGAAGATTAAACAAAACAAAACAAAACAAACTTTTCTAGAGGAAGTTTCAACCACCCAGGTAGGACTTCCACTAATGAGCCCCTGCTCCTGAGGCTGAGCTGTGGAAGTTGAGGCTGTCAGGAAGCTGGAAGGAGCCATCTGATAAGAGCTCACTCCAGAGGTGCCAAGTTCTAATTCTGGAAGCATTCTTTCCTATTGTTGGGCATCAGTGCAAAGATAGTTCTTGGGCTTTTCAGGAGAACATCTCCATGTTCCTCATGCTCTGCCTGCCTTGATTTGCGTTGCTGTGAAATTACTTGTTATTTCACACCTTCTCCGTGTTCTGTTCTCTCCACACTTTCTAACCTATTCCCACAGTGGCTCTAAGTGAAAAGCCAGAACCTTGCAATGTGACTGGCACAGTGTGTGGTGCCTGGTCCCTTCCCGGCGCTCTGCTTTCAAGACCCAGCTGGCCCTGGGACCGGAAAACACAGGGCATCACCTTCTTAAGCTCCTAGGGCCCTTTTTCCTTCCTTTGGCTACCCCTCCTCTTTAAATACATCCCATGCACTCCACTGGGCGCCTCCCTCTGGGTCCCACCCAAACATCCCACAGCCTTTGGAGACAGCTAGCTGATCTTCAGCTGCATTTTAAGCCAAGTCCAATGGCTTAACACCTTAAAGACATTTGCTAGCCCACACCTAATGTGAGGTAGGCTGATAGAGTCAGGGGCTAAGTGGCATCAGGAAGAGCTTAGACCTTTTCCACGTTTTTGCCTGCATGTTTTGTGTTTGTTCTGTGCCTTCAGATTTAGCCTCTCGTGATGGAAGCACGGCAGGGGCCAGTCCAGGCACCGGGCATGAAAAACAAAGACGAAGAAACCGTTATGAGCCAGAGGAGACCAGAGATGTGCAGCCAAATGTGATGCGGTTTCCTGGACTGGATCCTGAAAAAGAAAAAGTCTATTTAATAGAAAAACTGTTGGAACCTGAGTTAAGGATAATTCACAGGACCTGTTCCTCAGTTTTGGCAAATGTACCATGGACCTGTACGATGATGACCGGAGGGAAAACTGACAGTGGGTGACACGTACACAGGAACTCTGTACTGACTTTGTAACATCCCTATAAATCTAATATCTATAATGGAAGAGAAAAACAAAATTTCCCACTCGAAAAACAAAACAAAACAAAAACAAAAACAAAGCCACAACAGAAAATTTTCTCTGCAAATTTCGACGGAATGGAGGAATCTCTCCTAGAAGTCAGTGGGCTGACTCAGGAGCCTCGGAGTGGCACCTGGCCGCTTGAACCCTGAATAGAATCCACGAAGAATGGGGGGCCTTGTCCACAGGGTGGGCATGCATCGGTGAGAAGTTATTTCCTGCTGCCTCTGAAGAGGGCACGCTGTTGGTTTTCAGTTGTTCATTGCTATGCAGAAACAGTCACATGCATCAGTGGGAAAAACACAAAAGTCACTGAACCTTAATAGTTCTTTGAGCTGTTCTTTCTGCCCTAAAGCCCGGGTTTTTGTAGATGGCCCCTCAGCTTCGGGATGAGTCTCTCTGTGTTACTGAGTCATCAAACCGCTGGCAAATAAGGGACACAAGGAACCAGCCTGTGCTGGGATCCCAAACCGGTCTGCTCTCCCTCGGTCAGGTGGGCCTTTCCTTTCCTGCCACAGTGACTCAGCAGTAACTGGGTCTTCCCTTATTTCTGGTGCACTTGGAGGTGTCTTGGGAAACTCACAGGGAGTGGGGAGGGATGTCTGCCTGGGGTCAACAGGGCGCCTCACACAATTCCAGAGCATGGGCAGGCTTCGGCCCCATTGTGCGCTCACCAGATAAAGCAGTGGCAGAAGTGAAAGACATGAGCTTACCAGTCCCAGGTGGGAAGGGCAGCACATGTAGCCAGGCTTCGACAGATCATGTGGTCTCAGTGGACCTCAGGAAAATTTTTTCCTTTCTCAGTGTCCTTGTGCAGGTGCAAGCCTCTCTCCTGTGTCCACTGTCCTCTTTATTCTCATCAACATCTTTCTCCCTCCAACCTCCCTAAGCAATCCAGGACAGCTTCAGTCTGGGGATAAAGCAGAGAAGCCCCTCTCCCTCCCACTTGTCTATACCTTGAGTTCTCTCTTGTCCCTTACATCTTGTCGAAAATATTGCCAGAAGGACTCCCTCTTTTGTCTTAGCGAAATCACACATGGTCCTCTCTGGCCGTGAGCACAGAGGCAAAGTGGCTGAATGGAGCAGGGATGAGTCTGGAATCAGAACCCCTGTATAGGATTGAATCCGTTTCCCAGGCTGCTGCTGCCAGGGACCACAGACTCAGGGCGTTACAGCAACAGAATGTTATTGTCTCAGAGTTCTGGAGGTCACAAGTCCAAGACCCGGGTGTCAGCGGGACCATGTTCTCTGAAGCCTGTAGAGAACACGCTCTCCTTGCCTCTTCCAGCTTCTGTGGTTGCCGGGGGGGGGTTGACAATCTATGTGTGCACAACCCTTCCATCCTTGTGTCATTGTCCAATGGCGTTCTATCGTTGTGTCTTCACGTGGCTGTCTTTTTATAGGGACACTAGTCACACTGGGTTAGGGTCCCACCCTAACGAGTATGACCTCATCTTAACTAATTACACCTGCAGTGACCCTATTTCCAAATAAGGACACATTCTGAATAATTGGGAGTTAGGACTTCAGCATACCCGTAAAAGGGGACACAATTTCAACCCATAATATGCATGAGGAACAGAACTACACTATGACTTTTATTTCTCTGCCCTTCCTCTCCCTTAGGTTTTCTCTGGGTCAGCCTCGGAGGCACCTCCCCTAGCCCAGAAGTTGGAGGTGAGTCAGCAACGAGGGTAGGACGAAACAGGGTAGCTAGGAACCCCCTGAGAGTCATCAGCTCCAGAGTGAGACATGCATTTCTGGAGCCAAAGCTGGGAAGGTGCCTTCTATCTGGGCCTCTTCCCAGGGTGGTCATGTCAGGGCTCAATCTGCATGCGTTTTCTCTTACTTCTCTACCTTATCTCGTATTTGCTTTTTGCCCCCAGCTCCTCAATTTATTCTCCCTGCCACACTCTTGTCTACCACACATTTCTGTGAAATGTATTTTACCAGGAACTGCAGCCTATTACTGTGTTGTGAAAAAAAATTAAGAATTGACTTTCTCTCTCTCCTTTCTTAAAGTCCAGTGCCATTTATTTTTTAGAAACACCTCTATATTTTGGGAAGTAATGTAGTTTTGTAAATGTAGGAACACTGATTTTTTTTTTTTTCATCAGAGCTGTGTTATTTAAAGGTCCTAAGTAAATGATGGTTTTCTGATATAGCAGCAGGTGGAAAAGAGAAGGCTGTGTGTGTTTGTATGTGTGTATGTGTTTGTGGATGTATTTTAATTACAAAAAGCACAGTATTCATTGACTCTAGGCCTCCGGGGAGTGTGGCAAACATTTGCCTACTTCTCTTTTGCCACTGCAGCTATGAAGCCATGGCTCAGGTGGACAGTGGGCAAGGTGGGCGAGCTACAGAAGCTCACAAACGTCCTTCCAGTGGGATGTGTGGGGTTGTGTGGAGGCTGGGCTTGGAGGCCAGAGAGGCTTAGATTTAAGGGCACTCTTGAGCCCTTCCTCAGTTCAGATCCTTGGAACTCCCATTCCTTGGCTGCCATATGTAGATACAGCTCTCTGCCTTATAGGGCTGCTGTGTGAGGTCTTACTAAAATACGTTCTTGTCTGGCACAGTGTCTGGTATGTCACAGATACTCCTTAATATCTAGGTATTATTTTATTTGAAGGTAATATTTATCTAGGTCATATGAAGCGACTTAGATAAAAGATGAGTTATAGGGGCAATTTTATGTCTTTAAGCATGAAATAGATCCACAAATCGACATGCTATCAATATTATAAAGCATATGCTCCGGTGTACTATACTACCGTGGGTCACTTATTTGTTATTTAATAATAATTAGTATTTGGTTTGGGTCCTGGAGGGGGCCCTACAGTAACTTCATGAATTCAAATGCTTTTGCCCAACATTTGTTCACATTAGCCCCATACGAGCTGCGTGCATAAGAATAGTAACAAGATAAAGACAAATGGTCATGCCCTACATTTTCTGCTTCAGTGCTATTTGGAAGTAAGTGTGCAAAGATTTAAGTGACCTGCTCTCTCATTTCTAACTGATCTACCGTGGTGGGAAGAATTTCTAGATGGCTCCAAGATCTCCACCCCTGGTGACCGCACTCTACAAAACCTTTTCCCCTGAGTGCAGGCAGAACCTGTGAATAAGTGAAATACCGTTCTTGGGACTTTGAGTTAATCAAAAGGGAGAGCATGTACATGCATCTGACATAATCAGGTGAGTTTAGAAAGGACAGACTGGAAGTGCAAGGGGTCTATAAGAGGGGTCACACAGCTAGACTGGACAGCACTGGGCTTCGATCGGGGCCTTTAAGACCTGGGCATCAGCCAGCAAGAAAACAGGAGTTCAGTCCTGCACCCACAAAGAATAGAATTTGTTCAGCACAAGCATGAGCTTAGAAGAGGGCCCTGAACTCTAGATGAGAATGAGTCCTGGTCAACATGTTGACCTCAGTCCAGTGAGATCCTGAGCAGAGAACCAGCTGAGCTGAGTCTGGACTCCTGACCCACAGAGACTGTCAGATGGTAGACATGGGCAGTTGTCGTCTGCTGAACTCATGATCTGTTGTTACTCATCAAAGGAAAACTAATACATCCACTCACATGCCACAGAATTGGGAAAGATCATAAATAAACTTCATAGTAGCAAATCCAAGAGCATCTTTTCCTTGCTTATTTTATTTGACACCTTTTAAAAAATTTTGATCGGTAAGCATAGAGTTTGGGTTCCAAGACCTGATTTGGCTCCCACTTTCCACAGTAAAGCTTGGACAAGTCGCTTGCCCTTTTTTTAAGCTCTATGCTTTCAGAATAAAATTCTTATTTTCACAGACACCTCATAGGATTGTTTTTAAGATTCAGTCATGCAAACAGACATGCACAAGTGTGACCTCACTCTGCGCTGAGACTCTGTCCCATCAACGCCAGGCTGTTGTATCACTTTGCTTGGCTTGATCAATCTCTCTGTGCCTCAGTTTTCAAAACATGTTTAAACTACTACTTGCAGTGTGGTCTAGAGAAAATATCGATCCTCAGAGGACTCGTTAACCTATATGTAAAAAACCTTGCAAATGTGGATATGGAGTGGGTTTAGAAAGGTAACTCTTCCTTATCCTATATCCAAGTGCGCAATAATTCTATTTACAAAGGGTTCAGCTCATGGTGTATTACCATGATTTGTCAGAAGTCCAGGCAAGTTAGCTGGGTACCATGCTCAGGATCTCATGGGGAACAATCAAGGGGTCAGCCAAACTGAGTTTTCATCTGGAGCTCGGGGTCCTCTTCCAAGGTCATTCAGGTTATTGAGAATGTGATGCCTTGCAATTGGAAGAATGGGGTTGAAGATAAACATAAATGAATAAATAAAATAGAAAGCAAAGCCAGTCCTTCCCTTAACAGAATGGAGTTTGAGAATCAGTGACTTGAAGGTCTGTAAGAGTTCTCACAGTTCCAAAATTATGTGAACCTAAATTTCTTCTTACTCAGCTGATAATTCTTATTTTGGTATTTCTACTTGACTCTCTTTCCTCCAATACCGTACGATGAGCTCTGGAAATGAAGTGTTTTCATCTTTTGCCTCATCTTATCCGTGGATGGATTTTGGTTTAGGTTCTTAGAACCTGGAACACAGGTGGTGCCTCCTCTGTACTTGGACATTCAGAAGTTTGTGGATTTCAATGACCTGGAAATGGAAGGTTTCAGATTAAAAACACTTATGTCCAAATTACATATTTGAAATTCAACATAAAGATGATCACTCAATTCATGGAAAAATCGAATGGTGCACTACATCTGACAAAAGAAATCATTTGATGCTTCATACCTTATTAGTGCTAATGAATACCCCTGGCATGACAAAAAGCCTGCATTGATGGTGCTCACATTTGAGACTGATTGCTCAGAGAGGGCTCTGCACCTCTTAACAGATCTTCAGAAATGAGCCAAACACTATTCTTTGAAATGGGTAATTGGTCATTAGCTGATGATCTCACTTGTAGTTATTTTATAAACAATGAAGGTCCTCGACATTGCAGAAGGTCAGATTGCTAAGAGTGTGCACTGAGCAGTGGAGCTGAGTCCAGGGCAGAGATACCCAATTGGAAATTTTCTCTGACTCTACACTATATAATCCGAGTTGTTGTTTCCCGAAAAACCCTTAACTAAAATTGGATTCTGTTAGCTGCCTGTATGCCTTGGTTCTTTATTGAAATGATCGTAATCCTCGTAACCAGAGCACTGCTTGGGGAACGAAATCAGGTCATTTAAAGGCTAAACAAAACGTTAACACAAATGTGAAATGAACATAATGCTTTATATTTATTTTCAAAGTCTCTTTAAAATTAGGAATATAATAGGCACATTTTCCTGTTAGCTAACCAAGTTCTCTAGCAGGTGAAAATCCAGAAGAATACCAGAAAAAAAAAAAAATGAAGCCATTACATACATGTATCTATTTATAAATATCCTTATTGTTGAATATGGAAATAATGAATTACCATTATATTTCTGTTCATCTTTTGAAATGCTCTCTATTTAGATATTTTAGCCCATGATTTTATTCTATCATCCCCTATTCCTCTTGGGATTTTAAAAATTACAGGGAAATTGAAAGGCCAGGATATTGAGGAGCACAGTCTGCCCATGACCTTCCATGAGATCACCCGGCTGTATCCCAGGACCGTGGGGCTGTGGAGGGAAGCTCACCAAGGTCAAGGAAACAATTGGCCAGAACCTTGAGAGATGCTACCGGAAGCAGATAGTTAGGTCAGGGGAGCCAAAAAAAAAAAAAAAAAAACTAATTCTTGTTTTTTTTTTTCTCCTCTATCTTTTATTAATTAACGCAAGAAGGGAAAGTCCAAGAGGAGTGAGGGTGCTGCACCTGTCATCCCTCCTAACGGAACATCAGGGACTTAAGGAAATAGAATTGCATACCCAGGAGACACCCCAGCCTCCATTCTCACCAGTCTATGATGACATGGACTCAAGAAGCCACTTCCTCACCATCAGCATTGTCAAAGTTAGTAGTGGGCTGATTTTTAACCAGTTTTGGGGGAAGATCTTTTA